TCTCCCCCCCTTTTCTGACCATAGTTTTCTGGGGTTTTCCCCCCGGGTCCCCCGGGTTTTTCCCCTGAAGGCAGTCTTTAATGGTTCCGGGGGAATTTTAGTTAAAAAAAGGTGGGAAATTGGGAAATTTTTTTTTTTCCCCGAAGAGATAAAAAAGGAAGCTTTTTTCTTTTTTTCGCTCCTTTGGGTGGGGGGGGGGGGGGGGGGGGATTTCTTGCCTTAGTTGAACAGATATATATGAACAGATATATATAATAATAATGTATAATATTAATAATATATATGTAGAGTCATTTAAGATAATGCTATAGAAATCACTTCAGACGCAAGTCTTGAACTAGTTTTCTTTTATTGTTTTCTGTGAACCAAATTTTCTTATTTGTGTGATATCACGGTGAACTCAAGCTCTCGTCAAATTGGTTAAATAGAAAAACACTGCATTTTTCTGCCCACTGGACCATTTTTTTGTATCGATTTTTAAAATTTTGGGCACAACACCTTTTATGTCCATTTAAAACACATTCCTGCATGTTTACCGAAAAAATAATTTATCAAAGGCACAAGAAAGTGTAAATTTGCAGTTTCTAAAGACACCACTGCTTTGGGAGTCACCAAACTTTGGCGGCCATTTACTCGCTAATATGAGGGGGGGATTGTATTTTTTGTGGGGTTTTTTTGTTTTGACGAGCTCCTGATTTCACCACAATGCTACAACGATACACATAACATAGTTCTCTCCCCTGTCACTTGGTGATCTACGTTTTATCACGGGCCTTGGAATACTCTCGTCGTGTTCAGAAATGGTTATCCGTTGCTTTCTGGGCTGCCTCATAAATGACGTCATTTCCTCCTCCGGTCCAGGGGAATTCCCCTCCTGTGCGTTCAGTTACTGGTGAGGCATGGGTCAGCTGGATGGATAGAAGGATAGATTATGATAAATTCCCCCCTCTCCAGCACCCCTTTCCCCATTTATTTTCTTGATGAGTCCTACATCAATGCCCACCACACGTGCACCAAAGAATGGCAATCTGACACTCAACGCAGATTCATTCCGACTGGAAAAGGTAAACGTCTTAGAATTGCGCATTTCGGAAGCCATGAGAGAGGACTAGTGAATAATATTGTGAACTTGTTTTTGAGTCAAAGTCGAAAGATGAAAATGGCAACTATCACAAAGACATGGATAGTAACGAGTTTGAAAACTGGATTGGTAACACTGTGGTGACTGCATTAGATTAAAAAAAATCATGTCTGGTTATGGACAATGCATCGTATCATAATGTAACTAATCCTGATTATAAAGTGTCTACAAAATCTATGAACAAAGGCCCTATACATGACGCAATAGCCTGGCTTGTTAAGCATGGGATCGACCATAGTACAGCGAAAACCACATAGGATCTCCTAGACATTGTGAACGCCAGCGAACAGAGCCAGATAGAAGTTTTTCGAGTAGACAAGTACCTGGAAGAACATGGTCACATACCTCTTAGGCTTTCTCCTTACCACCCTCAGCTTAACCCTATTGAATTGATCTGGGCTGAGATGAAGAAAAAGGTTGTTTTGGCAAATACAACATTTGTTGTTGTTGTTGTTAGCGATCCAGTAGCATCTGAGCGTTAACTCTTCTGCATGATGCCATTCGGTAATAGTTGCATGTTTGTTCTAATTGTTGTCGTGAGAAGTAGAGGCAATTAGATGTGTGGGGTAGCTTGGGAAGAAAACATCCCCTTAAATCAGTTAGTTTTCTACAGAAAAACAGATGATGTTCCACTGTCTCTGAGGGGTAGTCACATAGTGGGCAGGCAGCAGACTGCTTTACTCCAATTCGGTTGAAATGTTGGTTGAGGGGTACATGTTGTGTTCTAAGTTGGAAGATTATGGATTGATCTCCCCTCCTCAACTCATTGATTGGATCTTTGACCAGTGGTTTATTCATGTGGCCATACATCCTCCTTCCTGTCGTACCTGTGGCCCAATCATTCATCCACTCTTCCTTGAGGTTTGACTTGATCATTTGGCAGCAAGTGGTGTAATTCGTAGGAATTTCAGGCTGAGGGAGGCTAGCTCCTTTCTTTGCCAGAGCATCAGCTCTTTCATTTTCCGGTATCCCAGTGTGGGCAGGAATCCATTGTAGGACTACTCTGACGTGGTGCCTACTTATCAAGTTATGTAGACTCCAAATCAAATGCAATATATCTTTGTTCACATCAGTCCCACTCTCAAGTGTCTCTAGTGTTGAAAGGCTGTCTGTAAATATAACGATGTCTGTGGTAGCAAGTGGGTTAGTGTCAAACAAGTAGTTGATGTAGTTTGCTGTGTTGGTGATAGCCTGTTGTTCGGCAATGAAATTGGAGCAGAAGGACCCGCTGGAGTTGAAGACTTCTTTTTTTCCCCCACTGGGCAAGTTGATCACTGACCCATA